AGCAGGAGCTGGGAGGGGACAGAGCCAGGACAGCTGACCCAAACTGGCCAAAGGTGTATTCCATACCATATGGGGTCATGCTAAACAATATATAGGGGTGGCTAGATGGGGTGGAGGGGGGGGCTGCTCAGGGGTAGGCTGGGCATCGGTCATCAGGTGGTGAGCAATTGTATTGTATTGTATTGTACAAAAGTGATGCACATCACTTGTTTTGTACATATTATTATTATCATCATAATTTTTATGTTTTTATTTTATTTTATTTTATTTTATTTTATTTTATTTTATTTTATTTTATTTTATTTTCTGTCCTAATAAACCGTCTCTATCTCAACTCACAGGCTTCATTTTCCTGTTTCTCCCCCCCCTCCCAGAGGGAGGGGGGAGGGTGAGCGAATGGCCGAGTGGTGTTTAGCTGCCAGCCGGGTTAAACCACAACAGTTAAGTACTTGTGTTACATTAACACCACTGAATTACTGACAGAAACTGAACCAAGACAACGTGACAAAATAAACCAAACCAAACCAAAACAAAACAAAATACTATGTGAAATATTTGAATTAGATATCCAAAATTCTAAGCTGAATTTTAAATTACTGTACATAGAATACTCTGACATTAATGTCAACAAAGAACACACATAAGAGTTTACTAAAAATAAAGTTTACCATTAAGTGGAAAAGGAACTAAGATCTTAGAGAGATTTTTATGCTTTTTAATCTAAAACATGAAATCCATTAACTGAAGAAGATAACCAGAGTTCAGACCATGAAGAAACAAAGTATTTTTTAGCTTTATAATTCTGCTCTTTGTTGCTTGTTTTGACCACGGTTGTATTTATTACTAGATTTGAGATGATTAGATGATGTCATAATATTTGCATTAAGAATAAATATTGGGTCTATTTATATCTTGAGTCTCAAATGAACGGGAAAAACATAAAAAAGGAAAAAAAATCTTCCTGTGGTTATATTGTTTTCACTGACTAAGGTAGCTCAGCATAACAACAGATGATTTAATTTTCTGTAGCAAGAAGATTCACCTTTCCAAGCTTTATTTTCCCTGTAGCTTTGAAAGAAAGCATTTCAGTGGGCACTTGCAGCTTGCAGGGCCCTGAACACATAAATAGGCTCCAGACCCCCATGGAAGAGATGCGTTGTGGCTGTGGCTAGACCTGCTTTCCGCTGTCCCAGCTAGCTCCAGACCTGTTGCAGGTAACTGTGCCTCCAGCCTGGTCTCCTGCTCCTCCAGTCTTGGACCTGGCTTGTTCCCTGGTCTCCCCGGGCCTGCTGGCTGCAGTCCCAGTCCCCAGAGCTGCTCTTATGCTGCAGGACTCTTCCCTGGCTGCAGCAGGGTAATCCTCTGCTCCTGGCACATGCGAGCATCCCCACACTTGCTGCTCCCAGAAACACTGATGCAAGTTCCTATAGCTAACTCAGTGAAATGTGTTATTACAACACATAGTCAAAAGGAACTAATTAAATGATCTGTCTCAACAGAACAGTCAGTTAAAAAGCAATGCTTGAAATTGTTACAAGATCACTCTTTCTGTGACTTTCAAAGACACAAAATAGAAATTATGCTGTTCACAGAATGCAGGAATTTACAAAAGTAAAGGAAAAAAAATGATTAATTTAGTTTAACACAAAGTTATGCGTTTTCCACTGCAAAATTGTCACAGAAAGAACCAGACAGCTCTGTAGGACTATCAAAATAAAGCTTCTACTAGCCAAAATAAAGTTTTTACTTTATTTTTCATCTAGTCTGACGAGCATCATCAGCAACCTGAGACTTAATAGCTGTTTCCAAGTGAAACATGGCTGTTTAATTTGACATGTTCCACTTGTTTTGTTTGCCCAAATTTTATGTTTTCTACAGGGTTTGGAAGCTGCAAAAAGGGCCAGTGTGAATACAACTTTTTATCATGCAGACTAGCAGTATCATAGTTTCCTTGCATAAATCCAAGAATCAATCGTACAACTGAACAAGAACTTCGAGTTTACAAGCTTCTAGGACAGCATTACAAATTTAAACCTTCCTCTTTTTCTTTGGTTTATACCTCTGATCCTTTCCTTGGCATTCCTTTTTCAAGCACAGATCCCTGTAAACCTGTCAGAACCTTTGTTGATTGGCAGCACCTTTGCATGCATAAAACTCTACTCAAAGTAACGCTAATATCCTTGATAATAAATATCACTTTGTTTTCTACAAGATCAACAGGAATTAAGATGTTCTGTTGGGGCATATTGAGGCTACTGAAAATTCTGCAAGGAGCTAGGCAGCAAGCCAGGAGGATAGCTGCCTGCCCTTTCAGTTTGTAAGGAACTTGCAGCCCAGCAGCTCTTAGGCTGCTGCTCACTTTCCAGGTTTTCTTTCTCCCAAGGCTCTGCTGAGTACCTTTAAAAAATGAACAAACAAACAAAACAACAACAACAAAATGTAATTGTTTTTAAAAGAAGTTTTTCTAAGAACTGATACAAGTGGAAAAAATCATATTGATGGTTATACTTCTAACACTTTTATCCGATTAGAAATGTTGAGAAACAGTTTCTGAATAAATCTGGATTTCCCTGGTGAATTAAGGGCATGAACAATCTAACGCCCCCATTCTTCCTCTATGCTTCTAAGCATGGCATATCTACTGAAACAAAGATACCAGTAGACTAATGGATTTACAGATGTTGAACACATATGGAAAAAAAAGGGATGCAGCTGCTTGACATTTTAAGCTGATCTTTTAAAACTTTGGGTCCACTAAATCTGACAGCTACATACACAACTAAGGTTTGTTGTACCAAGTGTGTATTTTCACAGAGTGAAAATCAGTAACAGCTAATCAGTAAATGCTAAGGTAATGGCTAATAGAAGGAAAATGCTGGAGATGTGACAGAAAATTCCACTGAAGACCTATTCCTGAAATGTGGCCTATCTGGAGTGTGCATCAGAAAATGTGTCCATAACTGATGTAACTGGATAAGAAAACCAGTATCATCTGTCTTACAACAGAAGAAATGCCAAGGTTTTTAAGGGACACAGATATGGAGGGATATTTGTTACTGCTGACTAACATACGTTTTCAAAGATCCTCCAAGTGTTGCTTCCACCTGTGTTTTCTGTAACTATCTGCAATAGTTTTGGTTACACAACACCTTCTGTGAATGTTATTTACATGCTACTTACCCCCTCTCCAAAAATCTTTTCTTAAAAGGACCGCTGACTTTCTTGTGGTATAATACTAGAAGTGTTCTCCCAACTTGATATTGACGATATTCATAATCATTCATCATTCAATGCTACATACAAAGCTTACAGTAAGAAAACATCCAAAGTTTACCACATCAAATGCCTGCAAATATTTGGGGAAATGCAAGTAGAAATCCCCCCTCTAGTGGACTCGAGGGAGAACTGCAGAGTTAAAGTGAAAAACGAGCAGAGTATCAAAACGCTCGTTTTACAATTTGTTACACATAGGGAATGTATTTTCTTTCTTTTTTTTTTTTTTTTCTTTTTTTCTTTTGTGTGTGTATTTTTTATGTTTTATTTTAATAAAAAATATTTAACAACTCCCCTACTGCAGTACCTCTGAGACACACCCAAGTATTACAGCCCCACTGGGACAGATTTGTACAATTTCAGGGGAAAAAAAAAGCTTAAATAAACAGTTTAAAATTTAACAAAAATCACAGTGAGCAGAGGAGTAAGACAGAGGTAAAGTATAAGGAAACTACTTTTTTATCATATAGGATAGTATGCAGTAGTGACGATTTTGAGCAGAGTGCAGATGAGGATTTCAAGAACAATAATGAAGTATCTACAGATTTTCTAAACATATCACCTACCAAATATGAGATGGACAGAAGTTTTGTTGAATCTTGTTTCAAATTGGTTTTTGTTGATTCTTGTTAGAAATCCAAGAGCAAGGTATTACAGGCTCATCTACAGGCTAATCAAAGCCAGGTACTAATCCATTGCAGTGAAATAAAACATCATTGGTAAGCTAGAGAAAAGAATTTTGAGAAGGACAGGAGGTAGGTTTGTGATGAAGGGGAGCAGTGAGTATTAAAGGACTGGTGAGAAAAAAGAAAAAAAAAAAAAAAAAAAGGGAAAAAAAGGAAGAAAAAAAAAAAAAAACATAAAGGAAGCCCATCTCCTGTTCTCATATTTAGCTTGAAAGGGTGTAAATAGAATGGTTTGACAGTTTTCAAGTCCACAATTATAAAGGTTAACACAGCATGACAGGATTTAGTGTAGAATTTCAGCACTCCTATAAGGCAGCCTATATCTTTGAGTTTTTTTCAGCTTAGAAAAATTTTATATTTAATTTTCTGAAAAGTCAACTGTTAGAAGTATTGTTTGGGTTTTGATTACAGAAAGCTCCAGATGCTTGTGCTTTCTGGTCAGTTCCAATCTCTTCCTCTCCTCCCTCCTCTGCTCACACACCATAACAAAGCACACTCCCTTTCTCTTCACCACTCTGTTCATAATTTTGGGTTAATTTCAGCCCCCTTCCCTACTCCAATTTTTCATGCTGCAGCTGCTGTTTCCCCTGTTAATTTTTGCCTTCTGAACATAGCTAGAAATTATAACCTGCAGTCCGGATGAAGGCAGTCACAGCTGCAAGTCCTACAGTCTGGAACAAGAGAGAGGCTGGACTTAATTAAAAATGTGATCCAGGGCTTGGAGTGGAGGAAGCGAAGCCAAAATTATAACTGGCAGGTTTAGCTTGATATATTCTAAATAGTGGCAAGCCAAAAAAAACACAAAAGAAAACAACAAAAAAAAAGCATTTACTGAAGAAAATAAAATTCTAGAAGAGAGTAAACAACACTGAGGTGTAAGGTAATCCCAAATTGCTGACAGGTGCAGAGCCTTAGTGAAATTAAGTTAATTCATCTGCATCCTCTCCAACATGACCAGTAATGCTTCAACCCAGATGAAATCTATCTGCTTGTCAACACTCATCAATAAAAACCATTTGGTCAGTACTTTTGAAAGGGCAAAATTTGTACATATCAGAGTTCAAAGTTTTATGTCTTGTCACTCATGCTATACTGGTAAGTATGGAATGTGTGTGTTCAACACTCATTTCTGGCCCTTATGGGTTCATATATAGTTTGTTTTGTTTTGTTGTTGTTTTGTTTTGTTTTTTTAAGCACTAAGGGTACCATTAGTACATAAGGTGACTGGAGGATGGGAGGAATGACAGAATGATGTAACAGCTCTGAGACAGGCCAAGTGGCAGCCATTAGGCTGAAACTGAGAAATACACTTCCAGCTGAGCTCCTCTGAGTGTACTACAAGGACTATATGGCAAATGCAGCAGCTGCAGAGCTGAGCCAAGCCAATCAGTATATATGGCACATAGGATCCCAGAGAGGGAAACAAAATATGGTACCTGAACAACTAACATGCCTTAGCAGCATATTTTTTGGCCTTTTTCTCATCTTTATTTGCATTGACCTTAGCAATCTTTCTTCAGCACTGACCATGTATTTTGACTCTGATGAAGTATAGTCTGAAGAACATTCATTATAAATTACATTCCTAGCAGGTTTTTTTGTTTGTTTGTTTTTAAATTAATGACTAAATTTTCCTTCTGTTTTTCAGATGTGTTCAGTCTTGAGCTCTCACAAATTTGACTCCTCTCCTGCTGTACCTTCAGTCTACTACAAAGTAGGAGTCTTCCATACCTGCATTAGAGAACTACTCTTGAGGCAATACCAGACTGGGAGTAGTTGGTGCACTGGAGGACAGGGCTCCTGTTTGGTACAAAAACTGGTGGACAGCAATGTCAGGGAGTCTAACAAAGTACAGTCTTGCAGCTAGAATGGAAGAACTCCATGCAATGGTGCAGGTGGTGTGCTGCCAAGGCAGAAAACAGATTACCAGAAGAAAAGATATCTATATATATCTATATATAGATATATGTATATTTATAAATGCATATATATACACACACATATGTATATGTATAGACATACATATACATGTATGTATATTTATATATATGTATTATATATATATATATGTGCCTATCACCATGCTGATAAACACTCTTTGGCATTTCTGGTGGACAACGTGCAAACATGTTTCAGTAGTGTGCCACTGCAGCAGTGAAGGCCAACCACATGTGGGGCTGTATTAACAAAATTGTTGTCAGCAGACCAACATAAATGATTTTCCCTCTTTTGAGAATACATGGAGAAAAAAAAAACCATATATACCAAAATACCATGTAAGAAAGACACTGACTTATTGGAATGATGCCAGAGATGGGCCACAAAGATGAGGCTAAGAAAACTGAGTTTGTTCCTCCCTGAGAAGAGAAGGCAAAGCAGATATCTTACTGCTGTATGCAGCTGCATAAAGCTAAAGCTTTTTCTTTCATAATAGGAGGGCTTATAGAAGATGGAGCAAGGCTCTTATTAAAAGTGCACACTCATTGGACACTTGGCAGCAGATACAAGTTGGAACATGAAATTCTAACTGGATATTAAGAAAGATTGTCACAAAGGTGGTCAAACATTGGAACAGGCTACCGAGACAGGTTGTAGAAACTCTATCCTTGGAGACATTCAAAACTTAACTGCACACTCCCTGAGATAACCTGTTCTACCAGGAGACTGGATGAGAGCCCTCAGAAAGTCCCTTCCAACCTACGCGACTATGATTTTCTATGCTGTCCATATTCACCAATATGGAATAGTGTGTGCTTTAAAAAAAAAAAAAAAAGAAAAATGAAAATTTAATTCAAGTTTTCATAGTTAGGTCAAGCCCATGATTGTACACTGAAAATTGATAGAAAGCAGGCAAGTAAACAAACAAATGCAGGAGAAAGAGACAAACAAGATCAAGTGTATGGAGAGGGGATAGGACTAAATATTATATTCTGATTGGAGAACTGAGCCTAACATGAATCTCCAGGGGATGAAGTTCCCAGACAAAACTTATTTCTTTAGTCGCACTGTGTAACTCGCTGCCTACAGTTCCTGTAGATGCCAACAGTTTCCATGAGCTTAAGGGCACACTAGGCAAGATCATGAGGTACATCCATTTCATATTGTTAACTGGATAGTGCCCACATCCTACTTGGAAAGTCCCTCAGCTGAAGATGACTACAGTATGTAAGAGTTTTAATCAGACTTATCACATGTTCTCATGATGTTCTTACATGTTTTTTTTCTCCTAAGAACTTACTTATGACGACAGTCATAAACAAAATAAATACTGTGCTCAACGAACTATTGGCCTGATCCCAAATCACTGTTCTTAGGGATGAAGAAAAGAAAAGAAAGAAAACAGCACTCAGCCAAGCAACAGTTAGAAGTCATGATAATATGCGAGAAGCAGAAAAGAATTTCTGAAATGGAAATTGTGCACAGATTTGAAGATGAGCAATTTAAGTTCTACCTTCATGTAATGGGGGGGGGGAGGGGGAGGGGGAGTTACTGTTAACCCAATTTCTTACAAAGATTCTGCTTTTTAGTCATCTTCAATTCTGAGTGGACTGAGAGTAGCTTTAAAAGGAAATCCAGACCTAAATATATATGTGAAATCAAGTTATTTCAAGAGAAAATGTAGGGCTGTCTCTGATCATATGAAACGTGATCGTTGGGCTAAAAAAAAAAAAAAAAAAAAAAAAAAAGCAACCATACAACCATTCTTGAGAAAACACAGAGGCTTTTAAAGAGTTCTAATGACAGTGCTATATTGTTTCCAAAGCAGCTAAAGCTAAATCCAGTTTTCAAGCTAAACCTTTTCAAAAATCTGTTTTCCCCTCCCCTAATTGCCATCCTAGAGAGCACTGCACAGCAGGAGAGAAATCTGACCTTTGAAAACATTTTTAAATGACTGCATTAAAAATACAGAAATATAATTTAAAAGTCATCTTACAACATCTCTCCAGATACTTATGTACTTCCTATCTTCAGCAGTAGTAAGGGTATGGTAACTCAAATCCTATTATCTTTAATAAAGGGACAGGATATTCAGCTAGTTTTTGCACAGGCTAAAATAAAGAAAATCCTATTTCCTGCTTCAATTTCCAGGATACATAATACAGTAAAAAATCTTTCCTATCCTTCATCCAGAAGCTCCTAGGCCTCCATACTTAAAGAGGAAATACAAGGAAGATAAATCATTCTCTTTGCATATCACAAAGAGCCTTTCACAAATAACCCTTTTTTAACATAAAAATTGAGTCATTCAAAGGCCTTCTAAATACATCTGACAAGCTCTGTACTGGACTTAAAGATCTGTGCACAGATAAGGAAATTGCATTTATATATGGTGCTGAAACACGTATTAAGAAATCCTTTCATTAGTACCAACTAAAAGATCACTAATGTTCTCATTAATTTAAAAACACGAAACTGCTATCAATAAAGCATCTAAGAAATTTATTCAGAAAAACTTCTCTACTTATATTCAACAGTGTAATTTTTACATTTCTTCACCAATGAGTAACCTGTACCTGAAGTTTCTTTTCTTTACTAGCACCAGGGAATTAAATTGATTTTTAAACCTGACATTACTGTTAAAAAAAAAAAAAAAAAAAAAAAAAAAAAAAAGCCTTATCACTACACTTCTTTTTGGAATTTTCACATATTTGAATAATAGGTTATTTTTTGCATGAAAATATTTCGACACGATTAAACAAAACCCTGAAGCCTTAGCAATGTCACATATGTGGAAGTACACATGAAAACCAGAAGTACTCTGAAATTCTGCAACCAAAACATGCAAGCTATAAAAGTGAAAAACGGTGCTGAACTTGAAAACAAATCTGATAGCATTTCTTTAGTTGGGTCATTGAGTGCTGCAAGCTATCTTTCATTTTCCAAAAGCCCTACAAAATTCTGACCAAATGTATAAACTAAAGTAAAAGGCATGTCTAATCTTCCCATATAATCCCGTGTGGTATTAAATTCAGATATCAGCCATTGACTCAGTTTATGGGGAAAAAAAAAAAATGTAACAGCATATACTCCTGTTTAACAGTAGAGGGGGCCAACTTCCATAAAAAGATAAAAAGACCAGTTTTATACTTTTAGAGCTGAATATAATGTTTTTCATGTTGCTAATGAAATAGAAAAAAGTGAAAAAAAGCAATTTCAAGTGTACAACGGAGGAGAGTTGCTGTGCATTGAAACTATATAGAGTTATTTTAAGACCTAACTTTAACAATAAAAAAGTTCTGATTTAGTGTCAAAACCCATCCCAACTTTACCTAAATTGCTTCTTTTTTTTTTTTTTCTTTTTTTTTTAAGAACAGACCCCAAAAGGCAGTCAGAACAATAAAAAGGAGGAAATACTATTTACAGCATACAGATACCACTATCTTTGCATAAGTATATTGAAGTGTAACCAGTGACTGGAGATTAAGTGTGTTTCCCATCCAAAGAATAGTGGAAAATATAAATAATTATCAGTGATATCAGGGTTATCAGTGTGGGCTGGGAATACAAAGAAGCTACATATGGGAACATGAGCTCTGCAATGGCAGGAGGATCATTGAGACCAATTTTTCTGTTGGATGGTAACAAAGAGCAATGCATGATTCAGAAGATAATGGAACATACTAAATACATTTTTTTTCTATCAATTAATTATTTTTGCTTCTACTTCATACACTGCCTAAAGCTAACTTTAAAGCAACAACAACAATAGAAGAGTATAAGACTAACTGCACCTTTAGGATATTTTATGCATTTCACAACAGACTCAAATGCCTTCTCACCACTACCTTTTCTGCAGATGAGCATTACAGCATTTGTTTGTTTTTTATATAATAAGTGAAACTTAAAATAAATATAAACTACAGCCTTGAAGTTACAGATGATGACCATATTGCAGACCACAGCTGAATCTTTGCAAAAACATAAGATGTCTTGATTTGTTCAGCTTTGAATCATGTTCTTTACAAACTGTTTCATGAACATCAGAAGCAAACAAAGCCACAGACCCACACACTGCAAATGAGCTCAGTGTCACTGGGGTGATCAAGTCAGCTGACCATCTGATCCGACCAAAAACTCACAGAAATCTTTCCTTCCAGTTCGTCTCACTGAAAATGCAATTACCATCCCACAAAATGTAATTTCTCATTTTTCTTTACTTTCCATTAATAAAGTGAAGTGAAGTAACTTCACTTAGTGAACATATAGTGAAGTAACATATAATGTTACAACATAGTGAAGTAACAGTATTTTTTACTTCTCTATCACAATAGGTAATTCTATGAGTTTACTGGTTTCATTCACCATACACTTACACTATGCAAACAAAAGAAAATAAGCATACACAGGCCTGCAAATTTTTTCCAATGAGAAAAAAAAAAAAAAGTATATATATATACACACATAATACACACATAATATATATATAAATATATATAATATATACATTACATATTTTTATGTGTGCGTGTATATATATACATATATAATACGAATATATTTGCCAAGGAAGTACCTCAAATGCTTGAATGAAGCATCATAAATATGGTATAAGAAACCCTGGTAAGGTATAAATGCAACTTTTAACCTTAGAAAGTCAGTAAGGATAGCACTCCAATGAGTACTATCAGTTGTGAAAGAAATGCATTTGAAAAGATACGCTCAAACACTATTATTAGAGTTCTTCTAATTTGGTAATACACAGCAACCACTGTCTGGGACACTCAGAGTTATAACTGTTCAATCTACAAAGTTTCAGCACAATTTTCTTCCCAGTTCCCATGCTGGAATGCTGAGTACCCCACTGCAGTAGTAACAATGCTGCATTTCCAAAGAAGATCCAGCAGTTAATTTTCAAAACTGAAACCAAGTGACTTACCAACAAATTGGTGATTTTCTCACATCACTGGAGATAATCTATGGAGCTAAAACTACACAAAATACAAAATTAATTTTATAAGCAAAGCTCCATACTTAAATATACATGCAGATGTGCACAAGGTGATCAT